TCCTTTCTCTCCTCCTTTCTCTTCTTCTTTTTCTTTCCCCCCTTTGATGTAATTAAATCGACACTGACGAAAAAACAAAAACAAAAACAAACAAAAACAGTCTCTGTCCTCTCGCTCTTCAAGAACCCCATGATTCTCATGGGTCTATTCAGCATGGTTCTCTTCATCGGAATGCCCTACCTCATGGACAACCGTATGCCAATTCCCTAACCTTCTCTTCTTTCCTCTGCAAGCATACTGACAAGAAGAGGACAGTGGACCCTGAGATGAAGGCCGAGCTCGAGCAGCGCCAGAAGCAAGGCATGGGCGCCGGGTCAGGCCAGGCTCCCAACCCTCTGGGGAACTTTGACATGGCCGCTTACTTGGCCGGGTCTGGGTCCGGGTCAGGTGGCAGCAAGAATCAGAACCAGGGGGTGAAGAGGTAATGGCTTGGGGATGTGTATATCCGACCTTGGCATATGTGGACTTATTGGGTTCCATAGGGAGAACCACCCAAAGTGATGGCTGCTTTTGTGCTGCATTATCTTGTACATTGGACTCACAGACGACGACGAGTTTCACGGGTAATACAATGTATGAAAAAAAGAGAATCAATTGTGGGATATATAAGACGCTCCCCCAAAATCGCCGATGGTTACAAAACTCCAATGAGACAAGTAAGAAAATGAGAACTCCAATCTGAGTAAAAACTACGCAGAGGGTAGGGAGGTAAAACGGAACCTGCGGTAAACCCCGAAATAAGTCGACACAGATAACGGTAAGAGAGAAAAAAAACAGCCTCGAGGCATCGACATATCAGACACCTCTCTCTAGGCGTACCCTCCGATCTCACCACCTCGCCGCTCACCAAAGAGGTACGCGGCCTCGAGGCAGAACCGCCCGTGGCCCCTCTCCATCCTCCGCTCGCTCCCGTAGCAGATGAGCACCGCGTCGACGATGCCGCTCAGGATACCCTCCATGGCGCCCATGACAGAGTACCCGATGAAGCTGGCCATGAGACCCACGACGTAGGCGTACGCGGAGCCGCGCACGCCCATGCCGTCGGGCAGCTGGACGCGCAGCTGCTTGGCCGTCATGACCCACCCGGCAAATCCCAGGGCCGTGGCCATGATGAGGCGCGTGGCCACGAGGAGGAGCTTGGCGAGGCGGTAGGGGAGCAGTCCGTTGCCCTCGCCCCGGACGCGCAGAGACCTGGGCGTCAGCGTCGTTGTCGGTATGGCGGGGGAGATGACCTCCATCTGCTCCAGCCCGCGCGCCGACCTCGATAGGTTGTGCGAGTGGATGGCCGCGTACGTTACGGTCAGGGGGTTGGTGAGGGCGGTGATGGGTGTCGGGATCCAGAACGAGGCGATGTTGGCAATCGTCATGCCCAGGCGCCGGGGCAGGAAGATCAGGGGCGCGCGGACGAGGAGCGACAGCAGCGTCGACTCGCAGATGGTGCCGAAGATGGACGTCGCTGCGTGGTGCAGCGCCGCCGCCACAATCTCCTTGGACGGCGTCGCGGGCCCCGCGTTGCGGTGAAAGTACCACTGCGACACGGTCGCCGCCGTCGTGGCCCTGTGGACCGCGTTGATTATCGAGAGGGTCCACATGTACATGAGCACGAAGGCTGCTCCCAGCCACCAGCTCGACAGGCGGATCACGAACCGCACCAGGCTCTTGGAGAAGTAGCCGCCCATGAAGACGCGCGTGAACATGGCCAGCCACGCCCAGGTCCACACGACAATCAGGGCCAGGCACCCGAACCCGACAAGCAGGAGTCCCGAATTCTGCGCGAGGATCTTGCTTGAGAACTGCAAGATCTCGACAGCCTGCTGGATAGATCTCCGTCCCTTGACAACGAGCCAGAGCCACATGATGCACGAGAAGGCGGGGACCAGTGCCAGCCAGCGCATCACCTTGTCCTGGATGCTCGACCCGTGCGTCTGGCCCTTGAACGACGAGATAAAGGTATAGAGCGAAAAGGACAGCATGATGATGGGCACAGCAATGAGGATGATGTTGACCAGGGGCCGCACAAAGGACCTCAGGGCTGCGAGCCAGACGAACGAGACTAGGATCGCCACCACCGTGTCGACTGCCAGCATATTAAATGACTTCTGCAGCGTCATGTAGATGGTGTCGCCGACCGGACTGCTCTGGGGAGCCGTGTTGAGCCAGACGAGAACGAATGTCGATATCATGCCGGCAAAGCAGATGAGGAAGATCCAGGCGAAGAAAGGGTCGTGGTGGAATATCTCGCCCTCTGGGGAGAGAATCGTGGTCTGGGCGGTCTCTTGCTCCTCGTCGACCAAGGACCGAGGAACGCTGCTCTGCATGTCGTCTGCGTCGTCGCTCTCGTTGGCCATGAAGGGTTCCCTCTCCGACTCGGCCTTGAACCGCTGAAAGGGAGGCGGGCTCGAGTCGTCAGCGTCGCCCAGCAGTGATGTGGGGGGGTCATCGTCCAAATCGGCGCGGGACTCGAGCCCGACGTCGACCATCCTGCCCCTGCCGTCATCGCGGCTATGCTCACTATCGTCGTCGTTGCCGTTATCGTCGTCGTGGATAGCGATGCCTGCGGCACGGTCCTCTTCCTCGTCCTCTTCACGCAGAGCGTCCTCGTCTGCGAGACGAGGCCTCGTCGTGCTCCGTGTACCCGTCCAGCTACTCCTGATGCCACGGTGACGGTTCCGGTAGGGGTTATCGGTGGTCTCGCTGTCGTCGATGGACGCACGGCTCTGGGCTTCGGAATCCGTACTCTCGGCAAGCTTGCTCGCGGCGGCTACCCGACGGGACCGCTGCAGGGCAAACAGGTCGGCCGCCTCCCGGTCACGCTCCTGCTCATCGTCCTCTTCGCGGAACTCGTCGAGTGTGCTGTGGAAGAGGGGGGCATCCTGGGGTGCGGCTATGCGGGATGCAAAGGCGAGGTTGCCGAATCTAGAGCCGGCGCCGTTCTGATGGTAAGGGTTGCCGCGGGATAGGTAGGATCGATGGGGTCCCTGGCCTCGTCGCGAGGGTCCGGCATTCGGAGCGCCCCAGTCGTCGTAGCGCTGTGTGGAGTTGCGGCTGCGATTGTGGCTGTCGTCGGTCACGTCGGCCGGCTGTCCAGCAAAGTTGGAGAACCTCGACTGCGACTGGGCCAGGAACCGTGACGCATCTGTCGGGAGGTCAGTCACCAGGTCTGGCAGTGGACAAGGCGAAGAGACTCACACTCTGAAAACATGTTGCTCCTGCAGCACCAGCCACCAGCCACCCCGACTTCAACGGAAGGGAACCAAAAAAAAAAGAAGGGACGACTTCTCCCCTCACCTTTCTAGCAGGTTTCCTGTCGAGGATAAAAAGATGGCAAGTCGCAAGGCGGTAAGGTGAGAGAGGATGGATGGAGTCTTGATGTAATTAATCTCGGTATGTATGACGCACGTGGGAAGTTGGGCGTGGTGGACCAGTGACAGACAGATAGATGGTCGGTCAGATAAGATGTGACAATGCACGAAAGAGTGTCGACAGACAGGACGAGAGAGTTCTACGGGAAGAGGGAGAGGTAGCAGAAGAAGAAAAAGAAGAAGGAGGAGGAGGAAGAGGAAGAAGGCGGCGAAGGCATACGGATGGGAGCAGAGATGCAAGGCCAGCCGGTGGACCACGCGATAGGGAGAAGAAGATTGTGAACTGTCGGGGTAGGTGACCAGAGTCAGGCAGACGGACGATGGCGCGGGTGATGGGCGAAAAGGGTCGGGGATGACGGATTCGGGTGGGGCACAAGGCGGTCAGCAGCTCGGAGACCCCAAGCACGAGCAGGTAGGTACGTACCTAGGCCTAGTACTGTGCCAGATTACCAGTGATGATGGCCTGGAGGGTTCAGCCCGATAGAGGGCTCCCCGGTCCAGAGACTCCAGCACCGCCGAACCACTGTAGGCTGTGTCGCTGTACCACGCCGCTTACAGTGACGGTGGACTGCTGTGGCGCGGAGGACAGTCGCTGTATCCGTACGAGTAAGCTCACGTACGGTCTACTCGTATACAGGAAGAGGGCTTCCCCGTCTCTCTATCAGCAACCTCACACACCCTACATTAGGTTTCGGACCAGACAAGCTGCTGTGGTCCACTCAGGTCTCAATGTGACCGCAGCCGGCTCGTTGCTTTTGCAATATTATCATTATCATGCAGGAGGGGGGGGGGGGGTCATGCAGAATCATCGCTGCGGCGGCAGTAGACGAGTAATACTGCTGCTAGGCACCCCTAGGTACCAGCAGTGGCTAACAGTGAGCAGCACTTGTGCGAAGCGCCATTGGTGGGACACTGAAAGCACCGTACAGATTACAGGTACAGGTAAGGCAGCTCGGCCCAAGCACTTGGATGACATCACCGGTACCCATGAGTGAGACCATCCCAGCCTACGGCTATAGCAGGCCGCGCTGCACCCGTACAGGTCACGGAGTATCAATATTACGGAGGGCATCAGTGCCTTTCCAGCAGCGGCGAATGGCAAAGACATGCATGTATCATGCATGGAAAGGGCCGAGACGACGACCTGCACTCAACTCCAGCACATTTACTCGTAAAAAAAATTCTTCTTCTCTCTCTCTCCTCTCTCTCCGTGTCACAACCCCTTTCTTGATATTATACTGTGCTCTATCTGCCCGAGTCTAGAATATTCTCCACATCATCGTCGTACGTCATCGCAACACAACGCTCACTCCTTCGAGAACGATTTCCGGATAGCCTTGCCTAACCGCTCGGTAGCCGTCCGTATAGCATCTTGGCTGGCCGCCGCAAATGTCGTGCGGAAGAATATGTCACGTGGCGGCGTGTCAGGATCCGCACGGAACCAGGAGCCCCGCGCGCAGAGGATCCCGCTGTCGAGGGCAGTCTTCCATATCTCTTCCTCGATATCGAGGAGCGAGCGCTGCGGGTACCCGGGGTGTTTTGTGTGGTCAATCTTGATCCAGAGCTGGGAGAGAGAAACGCGCGTGGTTAGCATTCGGATTCGTAGACGGCATGCTTGACAGATACAGAGGGGGGAGGGGGAGGGGGAGGGGGAGGGCGAGGGCGGAAAGAGCCAGGTGAAGAGTAGAGACTTCGGTGATCGACAGCTTACAAACATGCCCGCCTCAGGCGGCGTCCAGCTCGCAAACTCGGCCGGCAAGAATTCATCGCAAGCGGAGAGGAGCGTGTCCCTCCTCTTCGTGTAGCTGTTCTTGAGGTTGATGAGCCACCTCAGATAGCCCTCATGGCCCCAGGTCTCGTCGAGCAGCTTCCACAGGACAACCTGGGCCAGCCCTCCGGGTCCCTGGTTGGCTACCTCGGCGTGCAGCTTGAACATGTCGACGACCTGCTTGCTTGCCGTGATCCAGCCCATGCGCGACCCGGGAGCGAGGACCTTGGAGAAGGAATCCATGCGCATGACGCGCCCGTCGACGTCGAGGCTGAGGTACGTGGGCACCAGCCCCCTCAGGAAATCGTCGATAGACTCCTCGGCACCGTCGGTGGCGGGCTCATCCTTGCCGACGCCGCGGTAGGGCGGCATCTGGATGAAGTAGTAGGGCTCGTCCTCGATGATGAAGATGTCGTGCTTCCGGCACACATCGTAGACGGCACGTCGACGGCCGGCGCCCTGCGTCGCACCCGTCGGGTTCTGACCCGTCGGGATCAGATAGATGACGTGCGGCTTGCGGCTGCCCCGGGCACCGGCGTCCCACGACGTCAGCAGGCTGTCCATGTCGTCGGGCAGGATCCCCTGCTCGTCCATCCTGACGCCTACCACACTGATCCCCTGGGGGCGTATGGTCTCGACGGCCGTGGGGAAGGTGTACTCGTCCGTGAGGACGGTGTCGCCGCGTCCGCGGTCGCAGAGCAGGCGGATCGCCTGCTCCAGGGCGCCCGTGCTCCCCACCGTCTGGCACACCTGCCAGTCGGCGTAGGGCGGGTCGTAGACCAGCTCCGTGTGCTCGGTGATGAAACGGGTCATCTGCGGGGATCCGGTCGCCTGACAGTAGTTGAGGGCGATGCTCAGGTCGTACTCGGACGTCCCGTCCGCCACGTCGTGCTTCCCCACCGCCACAGTCTCCGTCGCCGAGCCATGACCGCCTCGGCTCTCCCGCCCGAGCGTCGGGACCTGCATCGAGATGCTCTGGTAGGGGAAGTACTCGCTGGAAGGGAGACCGCCGCCGAGCGAGATGAGGCCGGGAGTAGCCATCAGGCCTGACGCCTGCTTGAGAACGCAGGGGCCCCGGGACAGACTCTCGGAGCTGAAGTGAGCTACAAGAGAAGAAGATGTTGGTCAGCAAAAGAGGTTACAACCATCGCTGCTCGTGTGTGCGCGGTGACGACAGACAATCCCATCTCTTCGCTAGCAGCTTCCCTGCATCCTTCTAAGACATCTCGTCAGCTGCATGATTTTGTATTGTGTATATCTGGGCAGAGTGAGAGCACCTACCGAGACCTTGAACGCTTCACAGTCGGCTACAGCAGCCACACCGGCAACGAGCCTCCCATCCGCAGCCCTCTTCTCCCGAATCGCCTGGAGAGACGAGCGCCCATCTCCGTTGACGACGAGGTGGGGGGATTCCGCAACTCCAGTCAGACACGCCATCCTGTGCTCTCTAGCCTTGTTCTCGTTCTTCACGTATGGAAGCGACAACGTCTTTGTGAGATTTTCTATCAGGTGTGTCGTCTCGTGACATCTATATTCTGAAGCCAGAAAGACGGAAGAAAAGAGGAGAAATATATATCAGGTCGTATTACACATTTTATACGGCTTGTGTATCAACACCACTACTCCGTGATACTCCGTATCTAACCGCTCGACACACAAACCAGTCCAAAAAAAAAAAGGTCCGAAAAAAAAGTCCTCTCCGTCCTTTGGGCTTTGGTCGGGAGGTATCTGTGACTCCGACTTTTTCTTTCATTGTTTTGTCTTCCTCTTTGGCGCCTGAATGTGGAGAACTTTTTGTTCTGTTCTTCTCCGTGGGGACTTTTCGGAGTATCGTGTAGGACACGCCGAGTTTTCGGCGTGTTGGAAAAAATGGCATAATGGACAGGATCCGACGACTTGCAAGTTACATGTACTCCGCGTTCCGTATTACCTACTAACCTATCAGACCCGATTCACTTACAGCACTCAAAGGCGCCGATGACGTGGAAACGTGGGTTAGATGAGCCGGATGAGTCTCTGGGATATCAGGTCCTCGGGAAGTGGAGACATGCATTTCTCATCATGTCACACGTCGGAATCCGTCACTTGTATTGCCATGGAGGAAGGGCGTACAAGTTCACCTCAGCCTTCGTTATTCCATTGACCCAACGAATGGGGGACAATGGGGGACGGCCTCATATGGTCGAATGATACTGATACGTAGCAGATGGGATTTCCAATCATAGAATGCATTCGGGGTCGTTCCCATAATCCCCGCTAAATCGTAGCGCGGTATTATTGTCCCAACCTACGACTCCCCACTGCCGGAGTGTGGTCTGCCTTATCCGAGATCTCCTCTTTCTTCTACGGAGTAGTAGTAGCGGTAGCGGTAGCAGCAATAGTATATATATATATATATATATAACCAACATCCTCAACCTCTTTTCTTCTTCTTCTTTCCCTCCTTCTTCTTCTGTTTCCTATGATTTCCTTTGCACTGCAGTAACATCAAAGATAAAATAAACATACTCGTCACCCATTCTACGATCCACACAATGGCAGACTCAGTCAAGGTAGCAGAGTACCTCTTCCGACGTCTAAGCCAGCTCGGCGTCGGCTCCGTCCACGGCGTCCCCGGTGATTTTAACCTCACACTGCTGGACCATGTGAAGCCCGCAGGATTGGTGTGGGTGGGCAGCACGAACGAGCTGAACGCGGGCTACGCGGCTGACGGCTACGCCCGCATCAAGGGCATCGGTGCCATCGTCACCACCTTTGGCGTGGGCGAGCTGTCGGCCGTCAACGCGATAGCGGGTGCGTACGCCGAGCGCGCTCCCGTGGTGCATATCGTGGGCACGCCCGCGCGACCGGCGCAGGAGGCCCGGACCCTCGTCCACCACACCTTTGCCGACGGCGAGTTCGGCCGCTTCGCCGAGATGCACCGCCATGTCACCGTCGCGCAGGCCAGGCTGCTCGACAGCCGGTCCATCCCCGAGCAGATCGACTGGGTGCTGCGGCAGTGCCTCCTCCACAGCAGGCCAGTGTACATCGAGGTGCCCGTCGACGTGGTCGATGCCCCCGTGTCGGCCGAGAGGCTCGCGTCGCCGGCGGCGACCCTGTCGGCCCCGGACCACCACGCCGCCGCCCAGACCAGCGCGGCCGCTTCGGCCGTGCTGGAGAGGGTGTACGCTGCCAAGAAGCCGGCCATCTTCGTCGACGGCGAGGTCAGGCCCATGGGCGTGACGGACCAGGTGCAGCAGCTCGTCAAGGCGACTGGCTGGCCGACGTGGGTCACGGGCTACTCCAAGTCGCTCATCGACGAGACCCTGCCCAACTTCCACGGCGTGAACCATGGGAGCTTCGAGGACCACAAGTCACGCGAATTTATCCGGCAGGCCGATCTGATCCTCTGCTTCGGCCCGCACTTCTCCGCCACAAACACATATCTGTTCACCAGCATCCCCAGACCGGAAGTCGCCATCCTCTTCACCGACACGGAGGTCAAGATGCCCGACGGCACCACGCGCAACTGCTCTGCCAAGCCGCTCATCTCCCAGCTCGTGCGCGACCTGGATGCGTCCAGGATGCACAGGTACGGCGACGAGTACCCGGACCTGCACCGTGACAGCCTGCTCTCCTTCTCTGACGTGCCTCGCGACGGGGCCATCGACCAGGAGCACGTGTGGCGCCTGCTGGGCAACTTCCTCCGGCCGGGGGACATCCTCATGGCCGAGACGGGCACGGCCGCCTACGGGGCTCGAAGAGTCCCGCTCCCCAAGCACGCCCGCTACTTTGGGCCGGTGACCTGGCTCTCGATCGGGTACATGCTCCCCGCGGCCCAGGGCGCCGCGCTCGCCCAGAAGGAGCTGGTCAGCAAGGGGGAATACCACGGCATCAAGGAGCTTCCTCGGACGGTGCTGCTCATGGGCGACGGCAGCTTCCAGATGACTGCGCAGGAGCTGTCGACCATGATCCGGCACAACTTGAATGTGGTGGTCTTCCTCATCAACAATGCCGGGTACACCATCGAGCGTTGTATCCACGGCTTGACCGAGGAGTACAACGACATCGCTCCCTGGCGGTACCTGGAGGGACCCAAGTTCTTTGGCGCTCCGGAGAACACGTTCACGAGATCTGTCAAGTCTTGGGGCGAGCTGGAAGACGTCCTCGGCAACGAGACCGTTCAGGATGGCGAGAACCTGCGAATGATAGAGGTGTTGATGGATAGGGAGGATGCGCCGTACGGCCCGCTGTCGCAGTACTTGGACAGGCAGCGACAGCGTAAGTGACTTGACCTCAGATCGGTCCAGTAGACCCAAACAAGAGGATACTCGAAAGACATCTTATTGCTAATATAAAATTATATGTGTTGGGTACCTCGTTCCCTGAGAGAGATTTGCACCCAAGGCCTATGCACAGAGGTCTTGTGGCTGGTTGCTGGTCAGGAAGGGATGCTCGGCCAGCGTGTTCCAGAAATGCACCTCAAAGTCTTGGAGGTTGTTTGGTACCCAAGACTCCCAAGGCACGTTGGCATCCACGGCAAGCTGCGCATCTGGATCGCACGGCAACGTAGCATCCTCTCCATAATGGTCAACTGCTCTTCTTCCCCGGTGGAGGCTTGCGTTGGTCATGCTATCGAGCAGGTTCTTGATCGTCTTCGTAGCCCCTGCCAGGAGCGCGTAGTTGGCGTCCTCCTTGTAGACTATGGTGCCGTACTCCACCTCGGCGACGATGACGCTGAGGTCCCGCAGCACCTTGGCTGAAGGGCTCATATCGCCATCCGGGGCGGATACCTGGTGTAGCATGGACAGACAGACAACCCCGGCGGCCGACAGGCCGTAGTATACTAGCTGTGGGGGACACATGAGCATCTCTTTTCTTTCTTTTCTTTCTTTCTTTCTTTTTTTAAAAAAAAGGAGGGATGGAGTGTAGCTCACCTTCCAGACTAGCGATGTGCCAGAGTGTACGATGTGTTCCTTTAGTACGATTGCCTCGACGACCAGGGCCAACATCTCCTGCGCAATGGCGGACAGCTCCGGGTGTGGTTCGGAAAACCGGCGAACGACGGCAAGACGGACCAGGAACAGAACGTGCAGCTGGTTCAATTTGATACCGAGCATAATGTCCAGCTCGAATGGTTTTCGGTCATACAGCTTCATGGGTTTCTCGAGTCGGAAGCTGTCAGGCAATGCAGCCCATTGCGTTTCCGCCTGGGCCTGGATAGGGCTGTGGTGATGACCATCAGTCAGATAGACACATTCCGTAGATACCATAGACATGGGGTCGGGGGGTCGAGAACCTACCGTGCCTTATCGACCCTGGTTTCATACCGACTCTCACCAAACAGCTCCGCCACGATATCCTCCTTGAGCATTGCGCACAGTGTAGCCCATCGTGTATCAGCAACTAAGTCGATGGCGGTGTCTGGCGCCCACTCGGGTGAGAAGAATGCCGCGAGGCTGGGCTGTTGGAGCCGACAGAATCTCTTGTATATCCGCGGTGGTCTTCCGAGGAAGATGGAGACATTCTTGTCGGCGGCGTAGGAGCAGGCGAATGCCGTTTGGCGGATAGATTTGAGGAACTCGGGTATGGGGCCCGATCCCTCGATCTCCTGATGGTATCCCAAGGCAAATAGGGAGCTGGAAAGATCACCTAACCTCCTCCAGGATTCATAGCCTAGTGATAGCAGGTAATGATAGCTGTCAGATGTGTCCACCCATATGACGGAGTCGCAAGAGGTAGAGGGAAGATTAAGAAGAAGAGAGAAGAAGAGGAAGAGCTTCAAACCCACTCTGATCTCCGTCAACGAGCGTGTGGAGGATAAACGTCTCGTACTGTAGTATGAGCTGAACATCATTCAACCGATCTAGGAACAGACAAATGTCCAGGCACCGGTCAGCATAATGCATCGTCAGCCGCCTCATGTACCGCCTCTTGGGCTCCGAGTCAAAGTGCGGCTGGGGGCACCGGGGCCGGAAAGTAGCCCTCGAGACGGCGATGAGGAAGAGGCCGATGCTCTCCCACCGGGCCTTGCCCATGCCAAACTGGTCGGTGAACTCATCCAGCGTGGTGTCCGGGGCGGCGGTGAGCGGCTTGCACGAGTTGATGAAGAGGCTGTGAGAGATGCGCCTGGCGTCCTCTGCCGAAGGCGAGCCCCCTTCCTCTCCCCCCCGACTTCCCGCTGCGAGGATAGACTGAGCTGCCTGGAGGCAGGTCTCGGTGAAGACGCTCCCGAGGACCAGGTTGGCCCCTGTGCCGAGCCAGGCTCTGACGAGTTCTATGCACTCTGGGACCTGGGCGAATGAGAGGAGCTGGCGGATCAGCTCGGCCCCGTGTGAGATGTGCGCCTCCTTTACCCTGGCATTGGAGGACACATGGTCGAATTCATCCGCAATGCCGAGATCCCCAGCCATCGCCTCTCCCTCACCAACAGCACTTCCTAGATCGAGATGGTCAAACAGTGTGGCATGGCTGGACGACCCAAGGTATCCCGGGTTCGGGTACGGATGATGCTTTGGCAACGGGCCGGGGATAGATGGACCGGTGACTGCACTTGCTGTATCGACGGCAAGGCCCCTGGATGATACGGTCAGTATGTAAGCTGTGCATGCACACGCACGGATCCGATATAAGATGCACATGTATTCGTGTACATCGATTGCATGTATTGTACGTGGCTTGCCTCACCCCTCCAACAGAGGTCTCGCCGGGCTCTGCGTCGACGCCGACCCTCTGCCCTTCTTAAAGGGCCTATCGCGATACACGCATTGCCCTGGCCGATTCCGTGCTTGGCACCGTGAGCATACGGGATGCGCATGGTCGCAAGCCAACTTGGATCGTTGGCACGGGTTGCATGCTGGCCTTCTCCGTGGTCTCGGCATAGTGGTGTTGGACGCTGTCATATGGCGGAGTGTTGAGAGGGGTGGTGAAGGAGGATTACCCCGATGTGGGCTGGCCACGACTCCGATCAGTCGGAAAAGATGCTCATTAGCGGAGTGTGTGTGTGTGCCGCCGGTAACGGAGTAACGGAGTGATGGGGAGTGGGGTGGGGGGAGGGAGTCGGCCAAAGAATCAAGACCCCCCCCCCCCAATTCACATCTTCATTATCCTCCTCCCCCCCCCACACATGCCTCCTACAAGTACCAAATCATTCATAGACGTCCTCATTCATCTACACTGCATCATTGCATTTTGGGATTCCGTTATTCTCAAAAGCCATTACTCCGTATACATGTCCTGCATCAGCACATCTAGATGACCATGCGCAAGGTATGGAATGTGGTACATGACACGTGATAGCCTTGGTAAGGGTCAGTACTATACATACCCCGTATACTCTATAACAACCCAGCAAGGAAGACAGATTGCCTTATCATGAGAGAACAAAATAAATTCCTTAATCAGACGAGAAATAATATCTCAAGAACACCTATAGGATCGATCAGAATATGACCACGAATTTTCTCCAGGTGCTATTGTCGTGTATGACAAATCTACGGCCAATTCATCATAGTCTCCACAGGCGACAGCGCACCCCGGCTACCGTGCCGCCCAGACCCCTGGGAATCGGGTTGGACCTGGCTCTCAGCTCTCCCATCCCAACACCACCACCATCACGCATCCCTGTCCAAAACTCCCTCTGACCGACTGCCTCGTGACGACGATCTTGCTGCCCCATCATCGCCAACCGTTTTTATGCCCAGGGAATCGGTCAGCCGAGCTCTTACCTCTCTCCTCCTCCCCTCCATCACGATCCAGTAAAGCTATACGACAAGAAAGGAAAAAAAAAAAAAAGAAGGAATTGAACTGGGGAGAGCTTCTCGTTGACTGTATCCGTCCACCACAACCACTATCATTACTGGATACCCTCTCCTTGATTGAACGGAGTCGACGATAATCTCGATAACTCGCCTTGTCCTGCCAGGTACACATATACACCCCGCTCTCACTCAGACAAAAACAACAACAACCACCCCTCATGTCGGGTGCGCCGTGGGACTACATCGCCAAGATCGTCTGCATCGGCGACTCGGGCTGCGGCAAGTCCAGTCTGACGATCCGTCTATGCGAGGGTCGGTTCTCCCCCCATCACGACGTCACGATAGGCGTAGAGTTCGGTTCGCGCATCGTCCCCGTCGGACCCCCCAACTCTCGAAACTTTCGGAAATCCACCCTCACCACCTCATCCGAAGCAGATGGTGAGGCCGGCCAGGCGGAGGAGGAGGACGGCGGTCTCCCCCAACCCCCCCGCGACACGCCCCAGAAGCACATGAAGCTCAGCCTGTGGGACACGGCCGGCCAGGAGACATACAAGTCCGTGACGCGCTCGTACTTCCGCGGCGCGAGCGGCGCCCTCCTGGTCTTCGACCTCTCGCGCCGCCAGACCTTCCAGCACGTCACCGACTGGCTCAGCGACCTCCGCCAGATCGCCGAGTCCGACATCGTCGTCATCCTCGTCGGCAACAAGGCCGACCTCGCCCAGTCCGATGACAACAAGCGCGAGGTCACCCGCGAAGAGGCCCAGCAGTGGGCCCGCCGCAACGGCGTCCTCGAGTACGTCGAGACCAGCGCCAAGAGCGGCGAGAACGTCGAGAATGCCTTCGTCCGTGTCGCTGAGAGGATATACCAGAATATCCAGGCGGGCAAGTACGATCTCAACGATCGGAGATCCGGCGTCAAGGGCCCCGGTCCGGGGGGCAAGGGGGGCCAGGTTAAACTGGGCAATAAGTCGGCTCAGTCTTCTTCCTACGGAGGTTGTTGCTGAACAAGCACCCTCTCTTCCTCTTCCTCTTCTCCCTCCCTCCCTCTCTCTCTCTCTCTCCCTCCCTCTCTCTCTCTCTCTCCCTCCCTCTCTCCCTCTCTC